AGAGCAGGTGTTGTGGCGGGCGAGGGGTTTCCGCGTGGGGAGGCTCGGCGGGGAGAGGCCGGGCTTGGTTCAGGCCCTGGGTGCCGGGGGGTTCCCCTGGCTCTTTTTCACCCCTTCTTGTTTTTCAAGCCTGAACGGCTCTTACTCTTCGGGGCAGAGATACTCGTGTAGGCAGCACAGATGCGTTTTTCTTTTGTAGAATGTATTGGCGTGGTTACTGAGAGATTAAATGGGGATGGAAGGCTGTGATGTATAGGGCTGTATTTTTTTATTTTATTTTTTCAGGTGTTCTTGTGGGTGACATAAAGTTGAACCTTCTAAAGATTAGAAGCAGCATGTTATGCAGGATAGGCATGGTTCTAGTTCTTATTGATACGTGATACTGTGGTAACTTACTCATTGAGCCTTAATCTGGGGTTGTTAGGAAGGCTTATTTCTTAAAAGTGTCACTTGTGTTAGCTCAGAATTGTTTAAGATCAGAATCCTTCACAAAGTTACTTGATGGTACATTTTTACATACATTTGCATAGTTCTCCAGGCTGCTGAGTATCTTGACTGTCTCTGGTGCTAGTAACAGTATCCCTGCGATTATGTTAAGGAGGTACGGTTATGTACTGACTTTGTGGAGGCTAAGACTGTAGCATCTCCATAACTATGAAGCAACTTTTTTTGTTGCCCATTAATGTTTTCACAGTATTAACAAACTAGTTCTGTAGAAAAAGATCCATATGCCATTAACAGCTTTTGTTCCTAGTTCATTAATGGTTCTCAAACTGTGGCACTTGTCAGAATACTGGCAGGGGGAGTGTTATTTGGTATGTTGTGAGACCAGCCCTTGGCATAGAAAGATACGTTTCTTCCTAGTTGTGTGTTTCCATGTTCAGGTTCTCCTTGCAGTTGTGTGTTGTTTACAAGATCTAGCTTTGCTGAGTGGTGGTAGTGAAGGGTTGATGTTTGCCACCTGAAAGTGGCATAGTAATGTCAAGAATTGTACGGAGATGCCATAGTCTAGGTAATACGTATACTTTCACCTTGAAAACCAGCAACTGTATTACAGTGTCAAACTGAAGAGAACAGGACAAAAATCAGTGATTTCCTTTCATAAGTTAAAGTCACTACATTGTGAAGTGTGAAGGTTAAGTGTTTGGGGCGATTAAAAAAAAGTTTTGTGGAATTATTAAGAAGCTGTCAGCTGCTTTTGTTGTAGATCACTTGTATTGAAAATGAGGCTCTTGTGTCATGTTTCCCGCTTTGTTCAGGATTCAGATCACTCTGCTTCTATAATTCCCTTTCTTCTACCATGCTATCTCCTAAAGTGCTTTTTTTTATTAATAACTTCATTTCTTACTTTTCTTCACGCTATTGCCAGAATTTGAGAATTGCTTTTAAGTTGTGGATGAAGAGGGCATAAATCAAGGACTTAATTTGTAATTGGTTGTCTGTGTAGGAGATGTTTAATTCTCATGAACAGAAAAAGAAGTGAATTGTGAATCAAAGCCTAAGCTGTTGTTTTACAGTTTTCTGTGATAGAATCCTTGCAAGGGATTTGATTTAGTACTCAAAATGCTAATGGCAATTCTCCCCTAAATAGTAACTATTTAAAAATAACTTATTGCTTTGCTTCTGTTACGTACATTCAGTTATGTATACTTCCTTTAGTGTCAGTCTTCTCTGTGACAGCATGACTGTAAAAGATGGATTCTACTCCTCCTCACATGAAACAACAGAATTGCTTGCAATCTACCCAAATTTTATGTGTGCAGTAGAGCTGATGATTACGTTAGCGGAAAAAAAATTATAACCTTAGTTTAGTTTGAAGAAACTTTAAATGAATTTCCTTATAGATTCAGACCGGCATGCCTGTCAGAAATCTGGTTCATCTCATCAGTTGGTGTCTGTTGGGGCTGTTAGCAACCGTGTTTGCCCTTCTTCTTTCCCTTTTCAGCCCTTCTTTAGGAAGAGGAGGAAGAGGGAATTTAACTGTTCTCTGATGTCTGCCTGCTCTGTACGGCGTGAGCTCTTTTAATATAGGATGGTAGTTGGACACTCAGACCTGTAGACCAACTGTGTCCCTGCTCCCTCCCCTGCCATAAATGACAGGTCAAAGGATATTGTTGCTTCAGGGACTTCTGGTGCTATAGCTAAAAATAGAGTCCCTAGGAATTAAAACTGCTTCTCTTGGGAGACTGCTTGTCCTCCTTGGTAATTGGGGCTGCAGGTCTTTTGCCCTGCTGAAAGA